GCCCTGGACGGCACCGCTCAGCTCGCCCGCCCGGGCTGGAGCGTGTGCGGAGCCGTCCAGGGGCCCTAGCACCGCCCCCTCCCCAAGGAAACACCACGCGTGTATAGCACAGGTGTAGTTAGGTACGCTCTCTCTATATATGTGTATATGTATACGTGGTGTGTTTATATATGTTTGTATATATACATATATATCTATATACATATACAGATAGAGATATGTATTGTGTGTATATATATATATGGTGAGTACATACATACGCATGGTGTGTAAGGTGTATACACACTACATGTAGAGAGACTGCCTATCTGTATCTGTGCTATATATATGTGGTGCTTCTTTGAGGATATATATATATCCACATATTCATATAAAGCATGTGCTCCCTCTTCAACTTTTGAATTTACTGGCTTGTCTAGAATTTTCATAACTTTATTTCCAAGTAAGTTAAGGCCATTATCAAGACCCCAAGTCTGCAAGGCGCTGAACCCATTGTCGTCACGCTCAGCATCTTTCAGCTTTCAGATGCAATTGAAATGCCTTGTTAGAGCGGCCAAAGGTTTTGGGAGATCAGAGGCTTTCCGTAATGATCACGTAACCTAGAAGTCTCGATAGTACCTGCTTTAACTTCATCTACATTTTCTAAGTCTCCAGACTTTTAGTGCCAGTTAGTAACGCTGGCTCACAAACATTTTCTTCGACCTTCTCAAGACAAAAGCATGATTACAGAAAAACACAAAATTTGATTTTGCATTCGATTAAGGAACACGTAAGCTGTCCTTAAACACTTTTGTTTCCCCAAAAATATATTTTTACTTCAGCCATGAAAAATAAGGTACGTTCGAATTTTATTGCTAGTGCTATTGCTGAAGGGACAGTCTTGCATGTGGGGATTTCTCAGAAGTACTTACAGGACTTCAGAGCACAAAGTGTCTCCCTTTCCTAGCTCGCTTAAGCTTGGAAGCCTCCTCGCACATACAAATGTTTCTACAAAAAGAAAAGAAAAAGCCACAAAGAGAGAGAACACAAAAGCACGAGAGGTTTTGTTGTCCTTAGTGGCCCCTGCTCGCTGGGCAGGGGGGAGCCAGGGGTGCCCCAGGGCGGTCCCAGTGCAGAAACCTGGGTCCAGGCTGACCACCTGGGTAGCAAGGGACAAACTGAGAGAGCTCCAACAATATGAAGTAGGAAACAACAAATCCCTTTCGGTTCTGCTCTCAGGGATGTGCCAAGCTGAGGCGCAGAACTGTCCCCGCCTCTGCACCTCCATCCCCTCACAGGACCCTAATCCCCCCCAGCTCCTGCCCCCTTTTCCTTTTGACCCGTCGCAGCTGAGCTCTGGGCAACCTGTGTGCATCTCATTCTCTCTTAGCTTGTTCTGCTTCCTTCTCTGTGGCCTCACCAGCAGGAACAGCTTTCAGCCCAGGGGCACAGGTGAGATCACCCACTTGCTACTGCCCAGCACCAAACACTTACAGGCACCTTTATGCACCTTTCTCCTCATGTTTACCTGCTGTTATCACCACTACATCACTACTTTTAAACATTTTTTGCAACCTTGCCAGCAGTCTTGAAAAGCTGGATTCAGGAATTTGCTTCTTCCATTGCAGATGCAACATTACAATAAATCATGATTTTTAAGTAAAAACCTGGAACATGAAACCTTCTCGTTTCCTTCTCCCAAGGGAAAGTTGTAATTAATCATCACATGATGATTCTTTAGCTGACTCAGCCAGGGCACGTCCATCTGAAGAGCTGGACGTTACTCTCTGCAGCCGAGAATGCTCTGAATGCAACACAAAACTATGGAACAAATGTAAATCCAAAAGCCAAATCGGGTACGTAGCGGGGTACTTACAGAAAAAGGTTACTTTTTTACTTGTAAGCAAATCACCTTGGAGCCAGAAATCACTGTGTAACAGCATTCCTTGTAGCCACGTTGCTTCTCGGGTGTATTTCGCTGCTGATAAAACAGAGCCTTGCTGCCCCCAGGTGCAGGCAGTGGGAAGGGCAGGAGCATGGAAATATCACGGCTACAGCTTGCGTACCCACAACTGCTGCTATTAGAGTGCAGTTCCTACTAACAGGTCTTAAATATATATATATATGTATACACACACATGCACAAACACATACAGAAAGAGGATGGTTACCAGAACATACGAGCTTCAATTATGAGGGTTTCCTTCTCTTCCACTACAGCATGGGTTATAAATGATCTTTGACACTAACATAACTCGACCTACAGAAGCACTGTTTAAACACCCTCAGTATATTAAGAAAGCTCAAACTGTTACTCGCATTTAGGGCATTATTGAAATAAGCTGGTCATTATTTATTTTTCTTTTATCCCTGCTTAGGGAACATATTTAATATCTACATTTTCAAATACATGTGTATTCATAAACAAGAAGGCTTTTTTTTTAATGGGATCTTATTTCCTGGAAAAGAATTAGAACAAGATGATCCAAAGGGGCTCGCAGGAAAGAGAAAGGGTTGTAAAAAGAACCTGGAAGGAAACAGGGTGACGGCCCCATGGTTGCCTGGCCGGCGGCTGTGGGGACGAGGCACCTCGGGGCACCAAGACAAGCGTCTCCCATCAGCGCTCGCAGCCTCAGCACGGGCACCGGGGACCCCCGGGCAGCATCTCCCCATTAGAGCTCCTGCGGAATCCTCCGGAATCGCATCTGGCTCCCGGAGGCGCCAGGGGCTCTGATAAGCGAGCTCAGGAGCGAAGGGAGCCAGCAGAGCCTCTCCTCGTGCCTGGGAAGGTCGCCCTCCACCTCAGTGAGGAGAGCGGCGCAGCCAGGGCGCTCAGAAAACACCCCCCGCCTGCTGCTCGGCCGAGGGCCTGAGGGAGCTGCTTGGTGTTGAGGTGTTCGGCTGCGATTGATGAGACTCTGCCGTGGGCTGCTCTCTGGAGCCGTCACACTCGGGTTTGTGGAGCTCCCACCACTGCAGACTCGCCACAGAGTGCTGCTGGCGAGGGCCGAGGCGCCCGGCTTCAAACTGGGACACAGGCAGCTTCCTAATTGAGGGACTGCGTCTGGTATGGCCAGTCATCCCAGCCACTAGCACAGGAGGAGAGAATTTGTGCTCTGGATTTTTTTTTTTTTTTTTTAATACTTGAGATGAAGACAGAGGAAGAATTGCTTGCTAGGGACTAAATCAATCTTAAATCAATCTTTCCACAGCCTGTTCTTCCAGCAGGACTGGACAATTTGATCAAGTATCATCATTAGAAACTGCTTAACTGTTTGTTTGTTTGAAATCCAAATAAGTACGCACAGCAACTTTTCATTTCAACACTCTAGCTCATGCTGAGAATGCACCAGAACTACTGTTGCTCATCTCTTAATGCCCTAGTCCAAAACCACTCTACACCAGCAAGGCACAAACAGCAAAAGCGGTACCGCTGCACAGCAACGGCCCCGTCTGCTGCCTGGGGTTCTGCACAGGGATAAGCAGCGTAGCTCAGCAAGCAGCAGCGACTTGGTGTGGAAAAATAACGGTGTGTATGAGAACATTTACTAGATCAAGTGATTTTCTTCTGCTGTTTACCAAGCAAATAGACTGTTATCTGCTTGTATCATTGCTATTTTACTTGCCATCAATAACCCAGATGAAACATGACATAAAAATAGTAAAGCGTAGCAGTGTTTTCTATTCCCCACCACTCCGTTCTCAGTGCTAAGTTTAATAGTTAAATCCATCGTTCTGCAGTGGGGCCCGCAGGTGTTTCTTTTTAACGCTGCTATTTCTGTCCCTGCTGGAACCCAATCACCCGCACCCATGGGAGGCTGTGATCTTATCTGAGGAAGCCTTTTGCC